GTGACTCAAAATGAGTTGACTTCTGGCATAGTGAAACACCTGAGGCTTTTAATCTATCTTTTTAAATCTATCTTCTCTAATTTTCCTTTCCCATTTCTCTTGATATTTGCCATGCTATGGATGTCTTTTTTAATCATCAACTTGAAATTGCTCTCAGTACTGTAGAGCACCTCCCTCATACACTGTCATGTAGCTTTTACACTTCTTTAACAAGTGATGACTGCATGTCCACTTCCACATGGACAACCTCACTGGAGAAACTTCCCTTCAGGGTGGAGTTTGACTCAAATGTCAGGCCAAGCTCAGTCTAAACCAGTGGCAGGTAAATACCATAAAGTCGTGTGCGTAAGACTAAAAGTTATCACCCCCATGGTCAGATTTATTAGGTTCACATTTCTTGGGATAAAGTGTCATGGCAGAATGAGCACCTGGCCTTGCTTAGCCTGGAGCCTTGCTGGGGAGAGTGGCTCAGTTTGTGGCCCAGACTGATGGAGAGGGATCAGCAAAGGCATTTGTGCAAAGAATCACAGAACCAAGAATTCACCAAGGTTGGGAAAAAACTCCAAGGTCATCAAGCCCAATCACTAGCCTGTCAGGTTCACCACTGAATCGTCTCCTTCGTTCTTTTTGAGCACTTCCAGGGACTGATTCCACCACTTCCCTGGGCAGCTTTTTCCAGCGCTTGACCACCCTCTCTGTGAAGAAAATTTTCCCAATATTTGATCTTAACCTGTCACAACCTGAGGCCATCTCCTCTTCTTCTGTTTCTGGTTAGCTGGGAGAAGAGTCCAACCCCCAACCTGGCTACACCCTCCCTGTCAGGGAGCTGTGGAGAGCAATAATGTCACCCCTGAGCCTCCTTTTCTCCAGTACAAAAATACCTTATTTTTTCCTTATGCACTAGCTTCAATACACCCCTATTAATCTTGAAGCACTAGGTTCTGATTTGGGCTATAGTCTGCATTGCAAAGTCTGAGTGGAGAGCAGAACAGCAATCCACAGCAATCCTAATTGTGAATTAGCAAAATGCAGTGGTCTGGCTGTAGCAGTGCCAAACCCAGGGTAATTTCTCTGATGATACTTGCCTTTTAATTTTAATAGACAGTGGTTAATCAGGCAAATTATTTTAACAGTGGAAACATTAGAGAAAGAGAACTGAAAATATCATAGCTGTTACTTTCCACTGGCTTTCCAGCACATTGCTGTTAGAAATAGGTGGTTTTAAATCTGTGGTGGCAATCTGAAAGTGACACAAGAAGACAGATTGCTTCATCAGGGTCAGCTATGCTTTAAAAAAATCCTCATAGTCATTGTAAGAAGTGGGTACAAACACATATTTACATTACCAAACAGAGTAAATGAATGTTTGAAAGCACCTCTTTTGGCCTTTTGCTCAGGTATATCCAATTGTCAACTAGTGGATGAATATCCCTTTTTTTTTTCTTAAGAGCAGGTTGTCATTTTCTCTTGGAGTGAAAGATTTTCCCAAATTCAAGCACGTTTCCTTCCTGCAGTTAAAAGCTGACTGAACAGAACTGTATTTTTCAACTCATAAATCCTCTAAAAAGGAAATCTCATTAGTGTAATGAATACATTGAATGGTTGTTTGTTATAGACAATTAACCTCCATTAATTGGAGTGGTGTGATCACAGATGAGAGATTGTTTATTTGACAGAATGATTTTATTTTGTGGGGAGAAGAAGACATTTCAGATACCTTGCCAAAATAACTTCATTTTTTGGGTGATGGCACCAAGTTACTGAGGGCAGTGCAAATCTGTCTGCAGAGCTGACACTGCACGAGCACATAGTGAAACAGCAGCTGAAATTCAGTGCTGATGGGTGGAAAGCAGGCCAAAAAGAGAGTTTTTTCAAGCTTTTTATGCACAACAACAAGGTCTGACCTAACTCTTTCTGCCTGGGAGGAGTTCAGTTTGCCCACTGGAGAGGTATTTTGGAAGGTTTGGGATACTGACACGTAGAAAAGGGGGGAGCAGGGAGATGTCTAATCCTACCATCCCCTGATATCCTTGGAAAAAAGTGTTACTGCTCTTTCTCCCTCTGTTTAATTTAGTGGCCTTCAGGGACAATTGCTCAGTCACTGAAAGATGAGATTTAGAGTCTGGAGCTCTGATATCACAATCTTTCCTGCTTTTGCAAGCAGCAGAGTAGGACATATATGCAGCAGAATGAGAAAGGCAATAATTAGTATATTTTATATTGATCTTGCATTTTCTTCTGCTGCTGGACCATTTTACTTTCAGCTTTATGATTTTTTTAGTAGGTCTAGATAGTTTCTTTTTCTGCTGTTAGTTTTTCCTTGTTTCTGAGGCAGAATTGATGCTGCTATTAAGGATCTCTGTTGTTTGTTCCCATCACAAATGTAAGGGAGGCATTATTATCTTTATAAAACTTGCATTAGCATTTACTGTTGTGGTTAATTCTTAGGCATTCTGTATCACTGTTGCTGCCTATTGTGAAGCTGAGAAAATGTTAATGGAAAATAGTCCAATTCTAAAGTGCTGCAATCAATATGCAATCCTTCTTACATGTTAACCTTTACCATATGGATTTAATATCACATCTGATTTACACCTAATAACACAAGAGCCTGCCTCTAGATTTTTTTTTTTTTTAAGCTGGAGCATTTTCTGCTTTGGGTATTACTGTGTGCTACACTTTGCTTGAGGAGAAATCCTATATCCTTACCCAGCTCCCCTTACCCAAATTCAGCAAAAAACTTCCTAACTTCTTTTATCTGACAGCCTTGGATGAAGCTGAATATTTTCTTCCAACTCTGTTTGCAGGTCTGATTCCTTAAACCTGGCAAAGAACAGACCATGTAAGGAGCATATCCCATGGCACCTTCCTTGGTACAGCTAAATAATGGAATATGTTTGCAACCAGTACATCATATTTGAGACCCTGGGGCTTTTTTAGCAGATATTTTGTGGTTTTTCTCTTCAGTGCTTTAATTTGTCTCTTTAAGTTAGAATACTTCAAATCTTGACTGCATTAAAAAGATATGGATTGACTTTCTTCTGTTTTATTAATAAACATTTAACTCCACGTCATTCATTCACCTTCTTCAGTTGCTTTCAGAATGGCATTTATTTGTGATTTTCTACTCAGCAGGCCTTACACCCTCTACAGAGGCAAACAACAAGAACTTGCTTAATTCCTCACATACTCATCTATTCTCCTTTCTTCCAGCTTCCTCTGAGCTCAGTATCACACCTGACCACTCACACTGCTAGGAGTCAAAAAAACACAACAAAGGCTTGGAAAGTACCAATTATTTTAGTTGTGCTACTGAATAATAGATTGGAGAGCAAAAATATCTAGAGTGCATCAAAGGCCCAGTGAAGGTCTGTGTTATTTTAGGGATAAATATGTGCAGCCTAAGTAATGTATAACTACTGCATTTAAAGATCTGTGGTACAAAGAGAACACATGGTGCTTCCAGTGACAGGAGCTTGAGAGTACCCTTGGCAGAGGAATAAAGTGCAATAACTACAAAGCTCATGGATATTTTCATGATGGAAGTTGATAATCGGTCAGAGAAGCACTAAAAAATGGGTGAGAGACAGGAAAAATGTAGATGGAGAGAAGCTGCAGGATTGGGGTGCTGGACAGGGAAGTACCTTTGCTGTACAGTGCAGGATCCCACATTCCATGGACTCTGTCCCCAGCAGGGACACCTGGGGGAAGGTCTTGTGCTGAGCTGGGCAGCAGGACAAGGAGAAGGTGCATTGTCCCTGCATGAGAGGGGTTAGAAACTGGCTTGGGTCTTCCCACTGCGTGAGCTGCTGATTGCTTCCCCAGGGGTGCCCAATCCCAGCAGTGCCCTGGGGAGAGGGGGCTGTGGGGCAGGAATCTTTGGGAAGATGGATGTGGCTCTGCTGGGCGGTCCAGGATTCACAGCACCAGCACCTGCTGAGGCTGCAGCTGCCTGCTGGTGGTGTCTTTAAGGAGTTTTTAATTCCTCACTGAAAAGGCAGTACCTAGAGAGGCTGCAGGTTTAGATCAGTCCCTGCTTGACAACCAGGAGTGGCTCATCCAAGACCAGTGGCTCATCCAAAGCAAGTGATTATCCAAGACCACTAAATCCTCTTACAGACTTATCTCAAGTGTGTGTAATATTGCTGTGACCTTGGGGTGTCTGATGCCAAGAATGGGCTCAGCATGAGAATAGAAATAAGTCTGAGGTGGTCCCTTGTGTCTCTTGTTCCCCAAAAAGTTCTCAGACAGGCAGTGAGCACCAAGCTGCACTCTGAGACCAGAGGGGTTGGTGTTACATGAGGCATAGTCACATTATTCGAGGCACAGTCATACTATTTAAGCAGGTGTTAGTGGAGCCTGAGATCCTGATTATACCATTTCAGTGATGAATTAATTCTTTATGGCCAGAGGTGAACATGAAAAGAGCCTCCAGGAGGCCAGAGAAGCCCTGTGCAGGAGCTGTTTCGGAGCGATAAACAGCTGCACGCTGTGCTGGCGTTAATGCAGCTGCCCAGAGAGCCTCTCCCAGGGTAACCTATGGATTTCATAGCCCAGCACTCCATTACTTAGTCACAGATTTATAGTCCCCCCCGCCCTTCCTTTCCCCCCAAGCATCTGGCTGCTGTACATGAAGCTCACGGTGGCAATTACAAAACATCTTCTGAGAAGCCATCTCCACCCCTGTGGCACCATGGGGGTGCAGCTGCCAGCACCTGGCATGGTGTGTGTTGGATGGGCATCTGCTGGCTCAGGAGCACCTGCTGAGCATCCAGGGCCCACCCCAAACTCTGGTTCAAGTTGTACCAGAGCTGGGACAAGTTTCTGCACCATGGTGCAGGATGTGGCCCATGGGAAGGGACCATTTCCTCTGGCAGCAGTGACAGAGGTCTCTGTTACACCACATAGCTGGCTTTGGTCCTCCTTAGTGTTCAGGTCAGAACAGAAAGAGATCAGTTAATATATTTTGTGCCTGATGCACCATTCTCTCCCCTGTGCAGGTTTTTTGTTCCTCATTGGAGCAATGGTCCCATGTCACTATAGGACATGAGAAAGCACAACACGAGCCACTGCGATGACAAGGTAAAAAAGAAGAAAGTTTATTTTTCTGACTCCAACTTTTATACTTTTCTAAAGGTGACAGTGGATTGGAGAGTGAATGGGCCACCTCTCCAAAGACATTGGACAAACCACCAGTACACCAACTTCCTCCACCCCCACGAAGGAGTGCAAAACAATATGTTGTTTATAGAAAATGTGTGGGAAAGTTTTCTAACAGAATGTAAACTCAGAAGACTTTAGAAAATCTTAAGAATCAGGGTGACAGTGGCAATTTGCTCCTTACAGGGACTGTGCCTGGGGCTGCCTCTGGGCTGGGGCGGGATGGCAGAGTGTGCTGTGCAGGGCTGTCTCTGACATGATTCTGTGCATGCATTCCAAGATTTTCATTCTTGCTGTGAGGTACATCTTGAGCTGGATGCTTCACTGACTGCAGGAGCTGGGATCCTCTTTGGAGCCCTGAGAGAGGAAAGGCAGCTCCTTTGGACCAGGCTGGAATCTCTGTGGCTACTGATGTTTCCAGATGTGTCCAGAGGAGCCAAAGCACTGCTGCTGCTGTGAGAGAGTCACTGAGAAAAGTGCTCTTTGGTGGATAAATGTGTTCCACATGCAGCAGGGGGGTTTGGAGGGCAGCTGGCACCTCTGATAAGAGCCAGAAGCAAGCAGACAGCAGGGATAGAGCCCAGCCATGCTCGTGTGCCCCACAGGAGGTCACGCACATTATGCTTTCTGCCCAGAGAGATTTCTCTGCGCGTTTCAAAGGCAGCCTGAAGAAAACGTATGGTTCAGCAGGCAAGATGTGAAGCTAAAAATGCAGAGAATAAAAACTGCACAGTCACTGGCAGAGGTCAGCATTCACTACCTGTTATCACGTTGTGCTTTCTAATGCGTCTCTGTTATTTCCGCAGCGTGTGCCGTGCTGGAGTGCAGAGATCTGGGTTGTGGCAGCTCCTTTCCTTGCCGTGTTGATGGAGGGTTCAAGGGCCTGACATGCAGCTGATCCCTGGGCCCTCAGTGTGAGTGTGGAGCCTTTAAGTGCAGCTACCTCACAGTATTTTATTTTACCTTGCAAGTGCTTCAGCTGGGACATGTTATCCTGCAAAGCTCTTTGTTGTTTTAGCACTTCTGCTTTATCTGCACTTGTGTTCTTGTTGAATATATTTGTGGTGTCTAGGTGTTACTGCTGGCATCTTTGTGGTTTTTTGAAGCTGAAGAATAGCACTTGAACCTGTAGATATAGTCCATTTTCTCCCATCTATTTGTAATGATTTGTTTTTAAAGATATCACACTTGTCTTAAAGATTATTGCAGACCTGTTCTGATGCTCTGTACAAAATTGGTGTAGAATATTCTTCTATGGCTCTGTGAGTACTTCATATTACTTGAAAAAGATCATGTTCTATTTAAGTGAATTTGATTTTTTGTTGCCCATTACCTTCCCAAGTATTTTCATATCATTGTTTTACTTACAGAATAGTTAAAATAATATTAAATTTTTTTTTTTCTAGTCGAGGCACGTTTACATGTCTTAGTAGGAAATTCAATGGCAAGAGCTGAGTAAAATCTAGAGTCATTGTTTAGCAGCTTTAATGATACTCTGAAAAGAACTACAGAGATAGAAAGCTCTCTGCACCTGTCAAAACCTCTGTTGTAGTCATCACCTTATTTATTTTACAGCATTATTCAAATCCTTTGAATTCAAGTCTTCTGCACAGGAGAGCTGTATCTCATCTGCCATGAGCTGAGTAGGTGAGATACACTCATTTTCCTCTGAGAAGGTGTTTTTAGAAGGAGAAATAATTGGTGGAGGAAGAGAATAATTTCCTAAGTTTTGATGCTTTTGTTGCATGACTGTCATCTTTCAAATTCAAGAGTTCCATCTAGAGGAATCCTATTTCACAAGCTTGGTTTTGCTAGCCTCTTAAAGTGTGTCATGTTCTGTGGCTGAAAATAGATGAATTTAGTCCCCTTTCCCAGTCTTCTGTGTTGAATACCTGTGAATTTTGTTATTTCTTCCTAGCAGTTTTTGAAATAATACTTTAACATCAATATTTTCTGCTTACATTTAAAATATCATTTCCATGTTTCTGTTTATTGAGGTGCTGAAGAGATAGAGAAATTTTGTTCATGTCTGACTGTCACTTACGAATTTGTAGCCCAGGAAGTTACAAGCATCAGATTTTCCCATCAAGAGATATAAAATATATACTTGAGCAAAATAAATTTAGAGTAACTGAGCAGACTCTGGCAACACAAACTATCTAATAATATAGAAACTGAATGCAGACAGACCCACTCAGAACTAATACTTCTGCAAATAGATATAAATCTTTGTTCAGTTTGTTTTAGGAGCCACTGTTTCCAAGTATTTTTTTTCTTAACCTGTAGAGAAATCGGAAAAAAGTCCAACTGAAATGCCAACAGAAACAATTTGCTATTATCCTTTCAGGTTAGGAGCTAAATTCCTGTTGTTTTTTTATCTAATGAACCTTTTGAGACCCTCCTGTGGCTCAGATACTCCGGTTTATCTTTTTTAATATTGTTTGTCAAACAGATATTAAATACCTTGGTAATATTTAATAATGAAGTCTCATATCTAAAACTATACTGGAATGATCTTTGTATAGACATATGTGGAATTTGTCTATGACAGAAGCCAGTCAGAAAGAAAAGTTTTGGCTTTTAAAATCATGTTAGCAAAAGTGTGGCATGGCGCAATGGGTGGGAATGGGCTGAAGAAATCCTCCTGCTTGTGCTGTGCAACTTCAACTTTGTTGCTGCAGCTTAACTTGATTAAAGCAAAGCAAAATAAATCAAAACGAAACCACTGGGACCTTCCCCATGGCTCTACTTTCCTGAGCAAAATGAAGCATACCCTGCAGATCCGTACCTGTGCTGAGAGTGCAGCAGCAGCCCTGGGCTGCAGGAGCTCTGCTGGGGTGGCTGAGTTAGCAGAGCTTTGCTCTGATCACTCTTTGAAGGAAACCCTTTGAAGAAAACCCCTTGAAAAGCAGTGACACAGCTTAGCCTGACCATGCCTGGATGGCTCAGTGAAAGGAGACCAAGAGCACTCTGCAGCTGAGTTCTGTGCAAGGGCCTGAATTTATAAAATGCTAAGAACGAGTCCCTGAGCAGAAAAGCTGTGCTGGAAATGCCTGGCTGGAACAGCCCAAAACGGATCTTGCAAGGCAATGTCCTAGGAGTTAACTGGGATGAATGGTCAGGAGTGATCAGTGGGCTCCATCTTTTAAAAGCAAACATTTTCCTGTGCTGACATGGTTCACGTAAAAAACATAAATACATTTGAACAGATAAGCCACACAAACTCAACTGAGCACAGCAGGTAATATGCATTTCTTCACTTAGTTATGTTTTCTTTTTTTTTTCCTTTCAAGCTCAAAGTAGCATTAATTAATTTTTTACCTAGTTACATGATTTTACCCAATTAATTAGAAACCAGATCTTATTTCTGATTTTCAACCTAAGGCTTATTTCAATTTTGATTATATACTAAAAAAAAAAAAAAAAAAAAAAACCTCCTTAAAAGTGGCCTTAAGGTTTTTTTTCCACCAACATTTTCTGAAAGTTTTAGGTGTCATAATGAAGACAAATTAAAGTAAATTCCATCACCTCAGGCTTAAATTTGTTTGTACCTTTAATGAAGTCACATCGTGGTAGGCAATCACAAGTTCTTTTATCTAATGTGACACCTGCCACCTTTTTCTGCCAGTGCTGACTGTAGTTTTCTATAACTTTCTCCCTCTTCATTTCATAACTAGCTTTGCAATTGGGTAATTTTAGAAATTCAGCAGATGCAAAAATGTAAGTTTTCATTATTTTTATTACCTGTTACACTGCACTTATGGGATGATAACCACATAGATGTTTCTGAACAATTGCAGTCTATGGTGAGACGTTTGCTTAGAAGGTATTTCAAGTTCTGCTTAAAAATGGGAATGATTTTGAAAAGTTGCCTAAGGACTGCTGAAGCCTTCTGCTCCTCAGTGTCCAGAACTGGGGTGGTGAAATTATTGTTCACTGCCTGCAGAAGAACAAATTAATAGACATGTCAAATACTATTCAGAAATAAGTTGCTCACTGAAGAATGTCTATTTATTTGTGCATCTACTTGTTTATTCACTAAGCTTAATTTCATCTCACAAGTAATAATATTTGCAGAGTGTAATTTCAGGAAAGACTGTGATCCATAAAAAAGTTCCCAAACAAGATAACAGTAAAGAAGATTTAATTGTAACAATTTATTGTTCTTCAAAATAATGAGGCTGTTTAATAAAGATGAAAAAAAGTATTAGAAATCCCAGAAGCAAGCAGTGCAAAGTCTGCAATGTCCTTAGATTTACCCCATGTCCATCATCTATCAACTGAAGTTCCTAATTGGCTGTCACAGGAAATGTCACTCCAGAGTGTGCCTTTGTTTTTGCAAAGGCATTTTCACCCAAACCTGCTGTCTATTGAACTTTAAGTTGTGGCCTAAACTGAGAGCTCCAACCTGGAGAAGAATTTAAATATACTTTAACAATTAAATTAGACACAGTAAAGTATTCCCTTAGTTGGGGCCCAGGAACTGATCTTTGAATCTCCAGTGCCTGGTGACTCATCCTATAGAAGCCAAATTTTTTAAGGCAGTAAACAACTGCTTGGTGCAAAGTGCAAACTTCCCTTGTCTGAACTGCAGAGAAACCTCAGGAAGGTGGATTGATGCTTCCATAAATAGAGAGTGGAAAATGGATTTTTTTTTCCAGTGGGAAGTGTGTAATTTAATCAAGGTGGAAACATTGCATAGAAATGTGCTGTTTTCAGGATAATTTTTTTTTTTTAGAAAACAAAATCAGCAATTCAAGTATTTTCACTGCTGAGTCTTAGAGTCTCAATGTTTTAAGGGGAAGTTTTATACATGAACATTCATACAGGATCAGGCTATAGTTGGCATTTGAAAGAGGATGAATGAATTAGTGGGTGCTACCAAGTATAATTTGTAAAGAATTCCCTTCCTGAGAAAGCAGCAGAATTTAAATGACTGTTTGAGTGTCTCCATTGCCAACATCTGCCAGGAATATTCATAAAAAGAGATAGGATAGAAGTGAATTTCAGGATGATCTTTGGAGGCTGAGGCCTTCACTTTCCATTAAATAGATACAAGGGCAGAGCTAGGCGACTTTTATGGAAATTTCATTGATATAATCCCCCAGACATATATAATATATAATGTATCTCCAGCAGTCAAAGTAGGATAGAATTAGAAAGAGGACAGGTGATGTACTTTTACCCTTTTACTTAACTTCTCATGCAGTTATACTGGGTAAGATCACTTTTATACCTATTTCTCCCCCAGGTTCTTGGCAAAAAATATTCCATATCTTCATTGTCAGCATGACCAGGGAGAAATCTTCTGTTCAATTTTGCCTATTTTGAATTATGAATGCACAATTTTTTTAGTATGGAAAGTCATAAATTGCTTATTCTGTGTTCTGAAAGAGCAGCTCCTCCTAAAACCTGCAACTTCCAAATATTTTTCCTCTGATTGGGATCTAACCACAGAGCAGTTCAGAGAGGAATGTGTTGAAGCATTCTAATGAAATGAACTTTAAAACCAAAATTGTTCTGAAAATTTAAATAAGAGATAGCTCCTGGGACTGTATTATTATTTACTTATAGGTCAGATGACTCTTCATTTTTGCATTAGCATGGTGTGGCTAAACTTAACTGCAAAAGCAAAACGTTGATGAGTCAGGTAGCTCAAACAAGAGGCAGCATGCAGGATGCTTCAAATATTGCCAAACATCTTCTGTAAGATCCATCTAATTAGAAGTTAGTTCCCTATTTAGCAGCAGACAACAGATGTCTCCAGAAGTGAAATAGGCTTTTTTTCACCATTTTTATCTGCACAGGCTGGATCAGGATTCTAACCATGTAAATGTGTTTTCTGTAGCAGTAGTGAAGTTATACATAAATATGTTTTATATACTTAGGCAAGTTTCCCTTCTTTTAATCAAACTGATTATGAACTCCTACTTCTTTTCTTACCATTTGTCACTTCAAAATTAAAAATATAGTAACAGTAGTAGTATCAGTAAGAATAAAGAGCTTCATGTTAATGATCCATACAGACTTTATAATGTGGACAGAAATCCAACCACTTTCATTTTTTCTGCATTTGGCTTTGTTTCAGCTTCAGAAATTAGCTGTGGGATTACAGATAAACATACACCATCCAGAAAGTTGCATTCCACCAAGTGAACCTCGCCTCCAATGACCCTGATGTTGTACAGCAGCATCCTTCAGAAGGAAACACTTCCAGAGCAGGAGGGTGATGCAGAACAGCTGGGAGCTCTGTGACACTCTCCAGGGAAGATCTCCATCTCCATCTCCATCATCTCCATCTCCATCTCCATCTCCATCATCTCCATCTCCATCTCCATCTCCATCTCCATCTCATCTCCATCTCCATCTCCATCTCCATCATCTCCATCTCATGCCTGAAGCCACAGAGTGGTGCTTGCCTGCTGCCAGTGGAGGGAGTGGGGACCCTGTCTGGTATGTTCAATAGTGCAGCCAGCTGCAACATCCCAGTGACATCCCTGGTCACTCCTTGCCAGTTTTCAAAGGTGGGCATTTCAATGTAGAACAGTTCCTCAACCATTCCAAAAGAATCTCAGGACATGTTGGTACAGATCTTTAGCTTCTTGCCCTTGTGTTTGTACAAATATCTCATTGCAGGTCCCCCACTGCAACTGAAATAGTAGAAGCTGATCTTTCCCCTGTTATCAGTGCAAGATTTAAAGGGTAACACGCTGCTTTATTTCTCTCCCAAAATATGTGGAAATTTTTTTTCTTTCTGGTAATCATTTCTACTTTTGAGTCATCTTCTCTGAAGCATTAAAAAAATTAATCCCAAGGATATTAAAAGCTAACAACAGTGAGAAGGTGCAGAATATTGCTAAAGCTTTAAATGCTCAAGATCAGGTCCTTGTGGCATTAACTAATGAATCCCCACAGCACCTCCAGCACTGCAGTTTGCACTAAGCATTTTGTTGTCTAGACCCCATCATAATTCATAAAAATCAACAGACAGATATTCAAAGTAACTGCACCTGTGTCATGTACAGGAGCAGCCAGCTGGTGACTGGGCATCAGGATGAAAGCTTAGGAAGCAGGAATCTGATTTCAGGTCCGTGTGGGAATTGTTATGGCTTTTCTGTTTCCTAATGTCTGAAGTGCTTTCTGATTATGCATGAACATGTCAGAGCAGAATGTGGACATGCACCAGCCCCCTCTAGCATTTCTGTTCTTTGTAAAAAAACCCAGGGCTGGCAGGCTGAGCAGAGTGGTGTTGGGCTGTAGATCAGCAGAGACAGAGGATAACAGGGCTCGTATCCTGGCTGTTAAATCAGTAACACTTGTCTAGTAAGCCTTGATAAGGCTAGTTACTGTAGGGCAAGTCCTTTTTCCACTGCTTTCTTTCCCCTTTTTAATCACCTCATATTTTTTATTGTAGCCTCTGGAGGACAGGGAGAACAAATGTTGCTTAACAGTGTGGACAGGAATTTAGCATGACTAGTTGTTGCAAAGCCTGGAGTGACTTGGTAGAACTTCCCAAGAGACAATCACTACCACTTAAGGCAAGGCAGCACTGTTCTGTATCCTCTATAAATCCTACTCTGCCACACTTCTTAGATATTTTAAATATACCTTAGAGATGCTCACAGAGTGTATTAGCACTGTGCTTTCCTTGTATACATCAATATGTGAGGAAGTTCCTGAGTTACCGTGGAGCTGAACTGCACAGATCTTGGGAGACAGTGAAAACCAATAAAGCAGAATGAGAGAAAAACTCCCTGGGAACTGGATTTCCAAATAGCAAATAACTGAATGCTGCATCAAATAAACTTTTACCCCTTTCTTAAAAGACACCAGACGTAGAAGAACTTTGCCAGTCAGATGCCTTTGTCAGACACATCCCTGATATAAAGCTTAGGTGTTTTTTTCCAGAGAAAATACAGCCTAGGATTTCCCCTGAGGTGAATTTCTGATGCCTTTGTGTCTCTGTTGGACTCTGCTAGAAACTCATTACTTGGACACATGCAATTTCTTCCTCCTTGAATCCTGGCAAGCCCTTCCCCCAGCGCTCCCCATCAGGAGCACTTTGCTTTCCAAACAAAGTTTGGGCACCCACACTCCTCTCGGGAAGCTGCAAGTGCAGCAGAAAGGGAAGAGTGTTCCCTCCTGAGCAATCCAGGGAATGCAAGCAGCTTTAGGAGAGGCTGGGATTAGTTTTGCTAAGTGTGGATGCTTTCATGTGAGCAAGAGGTCCAAGTCTGGAGAGAAGCACCTGCATTTAAGCTTCTATTTTTGCCCAAGATGAACAGTGGCAGAGACCCCCATTGCTGTATTGATCACCTTGCCATTGATTACCAGACCTTCAGATCCCACTTCTGCTCTCCCCCAGCAGCCCCTGGACCACCTGTCTGGTTGCACTGAGCATTTTATCCTGGATCTTCACATGGCCATGGACTTGTTCCTTGAGTGACAGAATCCTCTCTTGCCACCATCACCTCTTCTCATTAAACCATTTAATTCTGCTCCCTCAATTCTGAATCTGGGGAGGGAAGATAAAACTTGAAGGATGGGAGCAGGGACTCAAAGATCCCTGGAGAGAAGAACGTTTCATTCTCTCTTCACAGAACTAAAATGTAGAAAAGATGTTATTCTTCTGTTTCTTCTGGGCATTTAATATATGACTGGGTGGATTAATTTGTTTTCCATCCCAAGCAGCTTTGTTATCCAATTTAGCATAAATTCCTGTGTGTATTGGGAGAAAACAGCTATACTCCAATGGATTTTGTCAAAGTGCCTCAGAAAACCTACAAATAAATTCCACAGAAATGTCAAAAAATTTTAACAAGGCTAGAAATGACTTAATAATCATAAGTAAATATTGTGAATGCTTGTCAGTCATGTATTGCCAGAGAATTAACTAGCGAATCAGATTTTAACTACATTTTTTTCTTATGAACAATAGAAAAATCTGAAATATTGAAATATTCCTACCCCAGAAGAGCTGACACCAAGCTTCTGGTTAAATTACTGTGTTGGACTTGATTATATACAAGGAGCAACCAAAACTTCACAAGAAAACTGTATCAAAACCTTGAAAATCAATTGATTCTAGCTTGGTATGCTTTGTTGTTCTGGCAATCACGGGGACTATTTGAAAATGGAACATATATATATATATGTGTATGTATATATATATATATATATATATATATATGTGTGTGTGTGTGTGTGTGTGTGTGTGTGTGTGTGTGTGTGTATATAATTTTTTTTTTTTTTTGTTTTAACCAGAACAGGACAAAAAGGAAACTATTTGGAAGAAAACATGTGCACTTCAATGAAGGCTTTATTTTCAGGGGCCTGCATGAGAAATCTGCTCCCAGGAAGTTGGATGTCTCAGCCAGAAAAGGGAACAAACACTCAGGTAAAAGCTACTGGCGTTTTGTGACTTCTCATGCAAAAACCCATGGATGCTGTTTAGCTTTCTTGGGAAGCATCTAACCCTCATTATTCTGAAAAGTGATTCTTCTAGGCTCCCTGAACCCAGTGGACTGGAGGGTTGTGTCAGGGCAGTGGGGAAGTTCTCCTTGCTGCTGATCCATCTTTGGCAGCTGGCAGGACCCTGCCATGAGGAAGAGGAGGAGGAGGAAAAGGAGGGAGGAACACGATGCCATTTCTGAACTTCATAAAGCTTCCCTGTAATCCATCATGAAAATTGGTGGATCATAAGGGATATCAGTTAATTTAGCTGAGACTTCAGCTGAGTTTGTTTTTCCTAGAGAAGAATTTTCACAGCATCCATTAGGGATTTTTAAATTATTTTCAGTGAAGGAGATCACGGAGGTTCCCGTTCCCTTCTCAAGAGCCAGCAAAACAAACAAACAGCAAAATTCACTTTGCCTCAAACAATTTGCGAACTATAAACAAGTGCAGAAATCAGCAAACAGATTCAGCAAACAGGCTGGGGAAGCATAAAGTAACAGCCAGACAGTTATGGCCAGCATGAGATTATTATGATCAACAATCTAAATTATTATTGTACATCCCTAAGTAGCCTATTCTGGCAGCCCTATTAATGTATGTAACACACTGTACCTTCTGCTGCTCCATATCTTCATAATTGGCTGCCAGTAATTTCCGTTTTCACCACAGTATTTGGTGCATTTTTGATTGTTTCTTCTGCTGAATGCAGGCAGCAGATAAAATTTACATTCGCAGCACTTGCAGTTGCCTAGCTTCTGCAAAATTTTTAAATTCCAGCAGTTGAAAAATAATCTTGATTTAAGTTTAAAATAAGTAAGATACAATTAAAATAATTTAATTGACCATCAAAAAGCTTAACTTCAAAGGAATTAAAACCCTCTCTAAGATATATTGGCACCTCACAGTCCATTTGCTACAATTTGAGCACTTTTATCAACGGAGAATCTTACCAAAGGCTTCATGGACATAAGAGATGATTAAAAATAGAAGATCAAAGCATGCAAACAAATCCTGTTAATATACTCTAACAAACAGGGATTGTTTTATAACTAAGTATGAAGCCAACTCAAACAAATATTTGGAAACACTGAAGACAGATCCCATTGTAGCTTTTGGCAGGATGTGCTTTATATATAAAGACATTTTTGTCCTGTTGCCACTGCTCTGACCAGAAGCCACATGTGTAGACCATCATTGCACCTCCCTTCTCTCCCACCAGCATTTTCCTTTCTCAATACTCTGCTTCAAGACAATTAGGAGCTAAATTCAATAAAGAAGCAGTGAGCTTCTTTGAAAATATTGCATTAAATCTCTCAGCTCAGCATCAATACATGGAGTGCCTGCTGGGAAGAGGGACAACTTGATCATCTCCATATTCCACAGTGGAGTAGCAGTCATCTGGGGAGTTTAACAAAGTTCCTCATGCCTTCCAGAAAAGTTTTAATAAGTAGAATTTGCACTATGGGGTTTTGTAAATCCTTTTCCCACTAATGGTACTACTATTAAACAAACATTTTGAGTTAGCATGTGAAGGCTGTGACTAATTTGCCTTTGCCCCTGGTTAAGCAATACAAACTGCTTCCCTGGACTCAAAATAATAGACTGAAATATTCCCATTTCCTGCAGATGAGTGAAAATAAACAGATCCAATCTGAGTTGAAAGAATGTAAGTAGAACAGGCCTTCATTTGTGGGGGAAAATAAACTTTGCTGATCCCTAGGCCTGGAACTATAAACAGCATCCTTTTTCTCCCAGGGCAGTGTATAATGTGAGTGCATGGTTTGAACATCCTCAAAATAAACAGCTAATCACCCTTTCTGGCCTAATTAGGCTATGTTCTGGCTGCTGGCTCTAGGTCTCATGCAAAGTGGCACTGAGGGAAGCCCTGCTCCTCTCCCAAGAAAGAGAGCCTGTCCAGCTCTCTCTTTGTTAGCTAACATTTGCTCCTTAGGATATCCAGCTCTGGGATCTTCCTTGAAAGCTTGGCAGATACAAGGGCAAGAATATTCCTGTCCCTTTCCACCGAGAGCAAGGGAAACCTTTTCTTCCTCTTTCTGCTCATTGCACAGTTCCGATGGGAGGATGAGCAAATAATATTTTTTTGTTCTTTTAAAATTTTTTCATTTCTGGATTTGGAATGTCTGCCTGTTCAGTGTGTATCAGCAAGATGTAAGAGGCTGGATTTTTTGCATGGACATTTAATTCACTCTTTGCAAAAAGGTGATTTGTCCTCAGTGCAG